CTCGATCATGAGGAACTCGTTTTGTATCATCACGACAGGGTGCTGTCCACGGAAATTAAGGGAGCATGAGCTTTCGAATTAGCCCATTATTACAACTTACGATGTCTTACGATGTCTTATTATCAGATGCAGAACAAGCGGACCGATTTGCCTTCCTATGGAAATTAACGGATAAATTGGAAGGATGAGTTATCATAAAATTAATTTAGGAGTCCCACTGCACGGCAGTCATTTCCACAAGATACCGCTTCAAATCAGCAATGAAGGCCAATAGGGAGAAATACAAAACAATTCATAGGTGGATTCAAGATTTTGAGAGCAGCCGCACCGCATTACCACGTTTCTCTTGAAAGGACCTTTACCTCAATAGTGAGCGGATAAACATATGAGCATACAAAGCGATAAACTATTGTTCTACAGTATTTCTTCAACAATGCCAATTAATTTGCATCACCACTTCGAAAGTGTTGACTGTATTCCTAGAGTGTGTGGACCGTATCCTTCCCAAAGAGAGGTCTGGTCGTATGAGTCATCTGACCGCTTTCTACCGTAAGGGCAGGGTGCGGTCGAAAATTTCGAAACACCATCTTGACTGTTGGGGATTAAGAGGCGCATATATTCGGTCAGCAGTGGTCAATAAATTTTTTCATTGGATTACTATTCCCCGGAGTCCCAAATTGAGAGGGAGCCCTGTAGATGCCCAATATCGAGGCCAAAACGGTTTTGCAAGCGTTAAAGGCGCATTTTATGGAAAAGCAGAACGAGCGCATGCATTAAGGAGTCGAACCCTGATGTCATACCCACCAGTCCACGACATTACCCGTTAGGCCACCGTTGTACAGGTACGGCTTTGCTTGGCTCGGTGATCCGATCGTTTGTGGTATAACACAGAGAGGCATCGGTCCCGTAACTTTGTTCCCACAATCGTTCCGCAGATTTGGGGCAGAGATTTGAGGTCAGCGTTCGAAACCACCTACTGTTGTATTCATCTCATTTTGAATGGCCATTGCGACCAAGTATCGTTCCCTTGCCAGGCCCGCCCACCTTGGTGCACGCCTCGCCCACTTCAGGGTTTAGACCGCTTTCCTTCTGTCACCTCGGACCGGTTTTTCCAGCGCTCTATGTTTCTGAACAAAGATATGGATTCTTGATCTTACCTAATCTCCGCTCACCTTGGCGCACACCCCGCCGACGTCGGGGATTTGATTATATTTCACCCACTACCTCCAACCGAACCACTTTTTCCCGCTGTCTAGAAACACACTTGAGAATTTTGATTTCAGTCCCCTCACCTAAGTGCGAGCCCCGCCCATTTCAAGTGTCTGACCGCTTTTCTTCTGTCGCGCCCAGCCACTTTCCCTCGCATTCTAGAACGTTTCTGAACAGAGTTATTATTTTTTCAAAAAAGGAACTAATGAATATTTCAGTGCACGCCCATCATAGGCGGAGCTTGACTGAGTTTACACATGCCCAGCAGGTATAAAGGCCTTGTTCACTCCTTTTATTTTTTCCTGGCTTCCACCTGTCCGTTGGGTCGAGTTATGAACTTATGCGATAAGTATCGCCCACTGAAAAGCTCCGCCCTCCGCCGCTGAGTTTCCATCATTTCACTTATTGACCCATCCCCCACTTCAGCTCATTTTTTCCCAGTGCCTGGGCCGTTGTGGAACATAATTAAAAAGTTTTGCCCATGACACAGCCCACTCCTGTGCATGCTCCGCCTTCGACGGAGCTTCGCTGAGCTCACATGTGCTTTTTTGGTCCTGCCCTATGCTCGATCCAAACCACACTTTACCCGACTTCTGCAGGTCCTTCTCGAGATGATATTGAATTTTGAGTCAGACAGACAGACAGATAGGTAAACAGACGGCAGACAGACAGACGGACAAACAAACAAATGGACAGACAGATGCGAGTGCTTCATATGCAGTAAGGACATTATATGTATATCATAGTATGATACTCCTCTTACTTGAACGCCTCTAGTAAAGCGCAGATGGAATGGAAGGAATATTCTCCGTATTCATGTGCCATATTTTTTTAAAAATTCAATAATCGACATTGTGACAATGAGCTCGCTGTAGAGGGTAATCATAACCAAAGTAATCATAGTAAAAATACAGTGTAAGGTTCCATGTACGGTTTTCTATTAACCTCGGCATAATTGTATTACTGAATTTATTGTTTTCTTGAACACTTCACGAGGTTTGTAAATATGCTTTATTAGGCTGACGTTCTGGCGGTATCGCCTTCTTCAGAGTCTGAAAGGATCATAACGATCTGTGACTATCAAATCAAACGCCTCCACGAACCCACCAAAGTTGGAGACCCCCAGACATGCAGGTGATCGGAAGGAGAATCACTCACCGTAACTTTGTGGATTCTTCGAAACCCCGCAAGTGATGGTACCAACTGACCAGTGTCAGGTGGGGTACGTCGTCATCAAAGTCTCTGCTGCGAGAAGGCCAATCTTACGTAAGGCGTAGCTCTCGCGTGATTGCGGGACATTTTTCCCTACTATTCACTTTGGGACTGGTGACCTGTATCCAAATGCCTCGAGGGTTTTACGCGCGCACAATTGCAACACCTGTGCTACTATCTCCACATAGACAACAAAAACGCCTGCTTTTGAGTTCGGTGACTCCCTAAGGCAGTGGGCTCCTTCAATCGCGTCATACTATCTACATATGTGCTCCTTAGCCCTCGCGTAGTGTGGTCTTCCCGTTTCACCAATACACTCATCGCCACAATCACTGCAATTAGTTCTGTATTCACCCTAGACATGTTATAATCACCCTTCCTTCCAGCTGGACAAACCACACAGCTTGAGGTTGTACACAGGCGATCGTATAGCCTGTTCCAAGTGTCCCTTTAATCCGTTGGGTGGTACGTTCACAATAGGGACTAAATTTTCTAAACCCGATTATTGGAGTCACTGACCGCATCAGAAATTGACGGTAGTACGCAATCGAGGTACTACCATGTCTGAGGATCACACCGCCAGAAGAAGCTCTACGTTTAGTTGGAAAATTGTAGTAGTCATTCGACCAAGCTATATTGCGTGCCATTTTAAGCAATACTTTTCGCTCATCCTTTCCAGGCAAACCTTAATAGTGCGGAACCTATTCCTAACGACCGCCCGTTTTATGTTAAAAGAGCGGTGAGATCATCACTGTCCATTATCACTCAGCTCATCCTTTTTACATAAAATTACATACATACCTCCAAGGAAAATTAATAAACGCTGCTTTTTAGGACCTAGGGCGTCCAAATTGGGTAGCAGTTCAAGCGGGAGAATTAATATACCAGTAGTAATTGGTAGAAAGTGACTGAACTGGACCCCGTCTGCAGGGGGCGGGGCGTGTGCGAAAATTTTAATCTGGCCCTGGGACGCTGAAGCTTCGTAGGATTAGAGGTTGCGGGACGGGAACACTGATGATAGGTGGCAGGACTGGATTCCGCCCATAGGGGGTGGAGCGGAATCTAGCCGTCCCCCTGTTAGCGGAGCGTGCGCGAAAAAATTTTACTTGGCGCGACCAAATCATCAACGGCTATGAACGACATTTTAAGAATGCAATGGGTGGTGCCGGGACTGGACCACGTCTGGAGGGGACGACCGTGCACGAAAATTAGTGCTGAAATAAAAATTGATCACTACTGGTTTCTCGGACATAGAGCATCCAAATTTTGTAGGAATACAAGCAGCAGGATTAACACACTGATGGTATGGGGTAGAGAATGATTGAGCACCCCGCTCACATGAGGGCGGGTGCGAAACTTTAAGTTTGGTCCTGTTAGGTTCAAATTCGGTAGGATCAGAGGAGGCAAGATGGGAACACTGATGGTAGGTGGCTGGACTGGGCTCCGCTCACAGGGAGCGAAGCGAAGTGTAAATTAGTATTGTACTTTGATACCTAGCGCACGTTCAAACTTGGTAGGAGTACAGGCGGGTAGTATGGGAATGGTGATACGAAAAGGCACAAGTGAACTCCGGATACAAGGGCGGGTGTGCGCAGAAATTAGTGCTAAACTAAAAATCAGTAACTAGTGTCTCGCAAGGCCTACATCGTCCAAATTCGGTAGGAGTGCAGTTGGCCGAATCGAGACTCGGATGACAGATGACAGGACTGGACTCTGCCCACGAGGAGGTGGACGTGCATGAAACAGTAATTTTGGACCTTGGGCGTCAAATGCGGTACGAGGTCAGAAAGGGGATCATGTCGGTTTCGAGGAAGTGATTGGTGGATCTCGCTGCATGGGCCGGAGCCCAGTCTTGCTGGAAGATCAAGGTAGGACGATTCCGCTCCCAGGATACCACAGCTTCTTCAAGGATTTCTTTTTTATAGAACTTCTCATCAATTTTCACATTTTTGTCTATGAAAATCAACTGAGTCTTGCCTGATGCACTATACCGCTCCGAACCATTATACATTTGGGAAACAAACTCATTGTGGCAATTCTTCTATTTCGGATGTTCTTGAAAACGGGACTAGTAGAAACTTGGCGTTGTTCCTGAGGGTTTTAGCCACTTCCACGGTGAACACTTTTTGAAACAGTTTGGACATCGACTACCTTCGGCGCACTGTGATTTCGGCGGAAAGACGAAAGAAATATATTTCTTTCCATGTCGGTATACAAATAATAAAGTTTGAGCGTTTTCATGGCGCACGTGATTTTTCGCCACCCTGTATTTGCGTGCGGAATGGGTGGAGTACAATGCTATTCTCTATATTTCTGGTCGGTTATTCACTGGTGGGGGGAGGGGGGGGGNGGGGGGGGGTACTACTCTCTGCTTGTGTCATGTGATCATCTCTGCGTTATGCGTGTCCCGCCATTTTGCTATTTCGTGACCATATGGAGCATATAAAATTTGCCAAGTATATGGTGGTGATGGTGGTATAGAACAGGAAAAGCAAGTAGTAAACAGATTCAGGCATCATCTTCAATAAGTATAGTCCATTTGTGCCATTCAAGGCTAAATAGACACGAAAAACTAAATGTCATTTCATTCCAGAAAACAGCCACGACGATCCAGTTATGGCACGCCTTCGAAGTGCGTTGTCCGAATGCGAAAATGATGTCGACACATCGCCCTCGACTCCAGTCCGACCTCCACTATCGCCGGTGCTGGAAAACGCAATCAGTAAAAGTAGAGCTGGCAGTACACATCAAACCCACATCTCTAGTAATATACGAGGTCGAAAACTTACATTGACGAGGTACTTTCCCAGATTTATTTTGATGAGTTAGTAGTAGAGGCTTTGTATGCAGTCGCCCCCAACGAAGCCATTAGATGGCGTTCTTGATCGCGGAACAACCGTTGGACGTGTCGATAAACTTTCAGTTTGAGATGGGACGTACAAGTCCATTATCTGTACAGTTGCAGCGCGCATTCTCTTGGCCATGATTCATATAATCAGTCGGGGACGTGCAGGGGTGTGCGACCATCTAAATGTTCTCACACCTAGGTGCGAAGTGGCCTTAAGTAGGTGCGCGGACCTTGTGGTAATTAAGCTGCCTGCACCTCGTTACGAACCGAGTTAAAAGTCATCAACTATCAACACACTTAAAGGCAAGTTCACGATGATATGCTTCCTGAGATTTCATCTTTGGATTACTCATTGGTTCTCAAGGGAAGAAAAGGATGCCGGGAGGGAAAAGTCAAGAGATAGAGCATATCATTACCGGATGCGTCCACGCCCATCGACCGATGATATGTAATACGAGTATCGAGGTAGTACAGGTTATGCTCTTCGCACCAGGACCCACAAGTCCAGCATGCAATCAGTGATCGCCGGTTGGTGAGATGACGTTTTACTCTTATTCTGTTATTCCCTGTTTTATTTTTTTTGCTGCTGCGGTCATTCTTCTAGTTTTCTACCCTGAGAGGATGAGAAGAGGTGGGGTTCTTTTGTTGTTGTTAGTGTTTTTGTTAAGTTATGGCTACGGATGAATAAACTTCAAACGACTATTTGCTTACCGTATTAAGCTGTACGCAATCAAACGCAATGTATAGCTCGTCCAAACTCCCTTTCTACGTCATTTTCTTGGTCTTATTCTCGCTCGGCCCCGTTTTTCACGACTTCTTCGAGGCCTTTTATTTTCCAGAAACGCCTATTCTTGTGCTTTTTTCGCCACCATCGCACTATTCCCCACCTTCTTTTTCGTATTTCGCCTCGATCTGGATAACTCAAAATTGTCGTTAACTGTGCATCAAGAACTCATTGAGAATAATGACAACAAAAAAATGGAGCATCGCGGAGGAGTTTATATTATGAAGCTTGGGCTGCCCTCATACGCTCAAAGGACTTCGGAAACTGGAAAGGGATTTCCACTCCATTGACAGGTGGAAATGTCATAAAAATTCTTCAGAATTTAAAAAGAGCCAGAACTTTGCGAAGGAATCACCAGCCGAGTAATGGGGAGATATAGAAAGAAATGAAAAGGTGTGAAATCGTCAACTTTGCTTCTGCCTCGAGGTTAGGTGGAAATTTTTATTCTAGCCAACATTTCGATGGACTCGTCGTTTTCGTAGCGCTACACTTCGCGGTGGAGGTGAGATGAGCTTATCTTTTGAATTTTGGGCATTTTTCGTGCAATCCTGATAGAATATCAGAAACGCTAGAGCGGAAGAGGCGCTTGGTGAGGTAGTGTGCAATAAACAAGCCTTGAACCATTTCAGGCCTTGAAAACGACAAGTCCGTCGAAAGGTTGGCTATAATAAAAATTTCCAAATACCAATCTCGAGGCAAAAGCAAAGCTAACAATTTCGAGAGCGACAGAAATGCCGAGGTTCCATGGTAGGAGGGCTTGCAATTTGATAGGAAGGTGTGATATTTTGTGAAAAGTACCCTGTTTCATACCACAGGTAGCTATTTTATTATCCTTGGTTCGATGAACTTCAACTGCAAGGAGCAAGTTGTCTTGGAATCGGAGAGTTCGCATGAAGATGTCCAGATTCTTGACGGAGGATAACCATCAGAGTTTTTTACTTATGGGTTTTAATTTTTTTGGTTTTCTTACAAATCAGAGAGTTGAACCGATTTTTTTCCATCTTACAGAAACTCTAACCAGAAATACGCTGGATTAACCTAATATGCGCGAAAATAAAATTCCTGAGATCAACGATGTTGAATTTTTTGCTACTTAGAAATCTTATTTCTTATAAAAAACCACTTTTTTACTGTCATCGTTCTCATTAGTTGATAAGTTCTTAGCAACAATGGGCAGGCAACATGATTAACCCGAAGTTTTCGCACCAGGTTACTCCGTACCTAGGTGCGAGGAGTGCTCGATCTGGTGCGATCGCGCAAGTGTTCTCACACCCATGGTGCAGCATACTTCTAAACACGATGACTATTTTATCTAATTTCAGTTTGACAAGTGACATGACATCTAGTAACGATCTCAAAGCATCACGTGCCACTCTAAGTGGTCCGCAGTTGAGTCGTATCTCAGCCAGGAGCTTCGCGCAATCGCTGAGTCGGCTCTCTAATAAAGGAGAAGCATCTACGCTCAGTATCGCCATGAGTGTAAGTGATAGATTACGTTGCTATTCAATACGAAGACTGTATGAAGACCCCTAACAAGGGAAGGATACTTGTAGCGGTGGTCATTCAAGATGAAATTTATGCTGCCGACGTAGTTCTGTACCGCTGATCTCGAATCTGTGTTCTAAATTTGCTGAACGATTCTGAGAACAAAGTTGCAGAACCGATTCCTCCCTCCGTTATCTCACTGTATGGAACAGATACCGAGCCAAGCAGAGCCGTAGTTGTGCAACGGTGGCGCGGCTTATAGCATGGTGGACCTAAACACATGACAACAGGGTACTAATCGTTGATGCACAGCATTCGCCGAAAATGGGCTTCAAAAACTTTGAGGAGAAATGTGCTAAAAGATTCATAGGATCAAACGCTTCTGAACATGCTATTATCGAAATGTTGTGCCCGAAGGCGGTGTAATAGTATTTGTGAGGGGATTTTGGTTTTTTTCCGCAACAACGAAGCATCAAAAAGTATGGATGATGAGTTCTTAACTACCTTTTCTTCTTTTCTAGGTCGCTATTCAAGAAGAAAAGGTAGTTAAGAGCTTATCAACCAACATTTTGATGCTATATTAATAGGTTGATGCATAATTATTGCGGATTTTTTCGCGGTATTTTTTCTCTCGATAAAATTGGACATTTGAATTCGGGATTTTGTAGAAATGATCTTCTCGCTTTCCTCAACAGAAGTATGGCTAGAAAGACATCTTCGTGATTTGATTTCAATTTTATGATGTTGGTCAAAGAGCCTGCAGTCTATTTTAGCTCGTGTGTTAAAAGAAGATTATGTATCAAAAACCATGGCCAACAAGGCTATCTCATCACGATCGAGTGCCGGGAATTAAGTGGAAGTGAGAGAGGCTATGAGCTTTTAAATTAGCCTATTTTTGATGGGTTATGATGTCCTATTTGGTTATTTGACTACCAGGTGCAAAACGAGCCGATCAGTCTTTCGGCCTATGGGCATTAGCGCATAAGTTGGAAGGATAAGCTATCATAAAATGGATGTAGGATTCCCTCGCATGACAGTCATCTCCACTGGGTGACGCTTAAAATCAACAATGAAGCCCTCAGATAGACCAACTTCAAAGAAGTCGTAGATGTGTTCAGGGTCTTGAGTAAACCGTGATATCATGTGCACCTCCGCATTGCCCACGTTCATCTAGAGAAGGCTTTCTTGATATTATGTGTGCATATGAACTGATCAACTATTGCTCCACAGTATTTTTTTTTTCAAAAAAATATCAGTTATCTTGTGCCAACGCTTTGAGAGCGCACAGTATTCCTCGGACGTGAGGATCGCATTCTCTTCGGAAAGGCCTCTGGTCAGATGAGTCCAATCGCCCATACCGACTGCAGAGAGCTGCCGAAAAGTTTGAGATTTACTATCTTGAGTGTTCGGAGTAATGGGGCGTATCTACAGGTCAATGTTGGTAAAAGTTTTTCTATTTTATTACTACTCCTCGCGTTTCTGAAATGTGAGGGAGTTTTGTAGATGGCGATACTGTGTCCAGAAACGTTTGGCAAGCGTGTAGGACCCATTTCATAAAACGGCAAAGCGAGCGCATGCTTTAAGAATTCGAACCTTGATGTCATGCCTACCAGTGTGCGATTTGGTTATCGGTTCGGTGCAGTCCTCCACTCCTCCACTCTAGATCATTGTAATTTTCCCCTTTATCTCGCCCGCAGAGTGCGCTGCGAGGTCCTATCAGCCTACAACAGATCGGATCCACTCTCAAAGTCATCGTCACTTTTCAAAAATTTGGATGTGAGGAGAACAAAATCGTTTAAGGATAGGTAGCATCCTGCGAAAACTCATTAAAACCTCGGATGATTCCAACAAGCAATCCTAATATTTCAGGGCGTTGATCCACAAGAATTTGCGCGACCAATGAATAGACAGGATATTTTCTATGCTGGTTCAATCAAGAACTTGAAAGAATTCAAACAAGAAGGAAGCAATCTGCAGTCCTATCGCGGCTCAGTCATGTCAATCCCGAGATCTGTCGTTGGTCAGGCAGTGTCTAGCCTCAGTCAAGCTGGTATGTTTTTCTTTATTCGCGGGTGTACATTCCCTCGGACAAGTCCTTCTGGACTTGATGGAATGTTCGCCAAAGTACGAAAATGTTGACCTCGTGACCTGGAAGCTTTAATTTTTCGGAATTGTAAAAACTGGGCTAACGCCTTGATATGCAAGATTGCACTACGACTCGAATTTAAGTTGTCATTTGTGCGCACCTATAGGTGCCAGAGTTATAGGAAAATTCAAACGGTCAGTTCAAAACAAAACTTTTGGAGCTTATTATATAGCTACATTCAAAACCAAAGACCCTACATATCTTCTGCCACTCCTCTTGAAATAAAAAATTTCGGCTCAGCACAAGCACACACGCACCCGATACGCTTTGTGAGCGCCTCTCAGGAGCGAAGTTCTGTTCAAGTTGAGTGTGTTTGAATGAATTGGTTCATCCCCTCTTTTTTCAACTGACTGGGACTCCACCCACGTAACCTTGTCCTACGACTTACCATAAGCGTTTCCATCCTGTCTCCTGTATTCCTAGCAATTTTTAGCGCTCTAGATAACACTTTTCGCGTAAGCTCCGCTCCTGTGGGCGGAGCCTGGTCATGCCACCTATCATAATTATTCCCATCCTGTTTCCTGTACTCCTTCTAATTTCGAACGCTTTTGGTCCACAGGAACAGGAGTCACAAATTTCCGTCCGAGCACTCATTCGCGCAAGCCCAACCTCCTGTGGGCGGATGAGTCCTATCAGTCGGGCCACCCACCTTGAATATTCCTATCTTCTCTCCTGTACTGTACTAATTTGACCGCTCTAGGTCCACTGAGGCAGAAGGTATGAATTTCCTCCTGGACACTTACTTCGGTCGGTCTCAGTGCACGGTTTACCCACCTTAAGCATTGTCACTCAGAAACTTCTACCGACCACTTCCAGTTCCTAACCGTTCCGGTAATGTCGAGGAGAAATAATAAGGGCTGATTCCCACTTATTTGCTACTCTCATGATAAGCTGAGGAGAGGGTTTCTGTAGCAGACACACTCCGTTTATGGGTCACACTCACATAGCACAGTGGTAGAACTTCCCATTTTTCTAATTCTCAAATTCTTGAACATTATCGTTGAATTGTGAGGGATGTTACTTCACCCTGTTACTTTACTCTATCTAAATGTGTGCCCGTTTCGCGCTCAGTTCCACGCTGTCTTCGAGTCTCCTCTGTAAAAAATCAATGTAGATCTGATGTTAAGCTTACCCATTCCTTTCGATATGGAGGTTGCCACAGAGCCGTAGCATAAATTTTGTGAATATGGCTTCCCCCTCTTCCCTATATCCCCCTGTTTACGCAACGTTTTCGGTGGGTAAAATTCTGCACGATCTAATGAGCAGATCACTCACTCCACAAAGTTTGTCTATGCTCACATGTTTGAGAACGGAAGGGTATTAGAGTTGCTTACCTCTCTTCATTTGTTTCCTCTTGCTTCTAGAATGCTTGGACCGGATTTGAAGCTGAACATAGGCGAACAGCGCTCACATTCGCTCAATTGTAGCGGAACTCCGCCAAGTCCGCAGGCCCTCCGGGATCTTGACTCACACTGATTTGATCGGACTCCTTTGAGCGGCTAAATTTCAACGTGACAGGCGGAATGGTAATTTGTGACCGCACTACATGCCACACTCCTCGCACTCACCGCGTGCCACAGTATTGCAACGAGTAATTTCGAGAGTCCAATATACGGGTCAGGCTAAGATGATTACGGCGTGATTGCGCTGTATGAATGAGACCGATGATGTTTGATGCAGCGCAATCACTACCAAAAATTTACCGCGTGCGCGCGCAATCGTGATGCCGGGCACAAATTTCTTTGCATCAGACAGGTAAACAAAGCAAAGGCAGAAGCAGAGAAAGCACGTTGTATGACCTAGGATGAGATGTTCATCCTAAGTTCTATACGCAAACGCAAACGCGAACTTACAGGATATGATAGCTGAGTACAAACGAAGACATGATATATTTGCAGGAGATCTTCCTGAGTTGGGATCTCGCATCGGAGGTTCACGTTTATCTCGTATTACTGGTGGCTTGGGTATTGAAGACGATGATATTCTGGATGATTTCTATGACACAGGGTCAGTTGTTAATTTTTGTCGATTCCATGAATCAAGTCAAATGGCTCTCAGGGTAATTCTATGCAGTGGCAACCGCATAGGCTAACATTCAGTGCTTTCTGTATCAGTTTCGAAAATGACTTGTCATATTTTGCGAATGAGCTAAATGGAGTATTTCAGGCGCTGTAAATGGATTCCATTGCCAATACGTAACGCTTTCCATGAAATGATAGACCTAGAACTACTGAAAGATTCTGTCATGTTGCTATTGTGCATGTCGAATGTGCTTGGAATGTTAGGCTTCTATATACCGTTCGTATTCCTGAAAGATCTGGCCCATAGTCATGGCGTTGAACCTGCCGAGAGCCGATATCTTGTGCCTGTCATCGGCGTTACTAACACAGTTGGTGAGCGATATAAGTATTTTAAACTTATCCATTTGAGATACCTTCTCTTAACTCAAGTACTCAGAGTGCTGGGGTGGAGCAGTGGTCAATGAATGTGGCGGCATATGGCTGACCTTAGCTTAGGTTGTATTCGGAGAAGGACTTTGGAATTCGAAGGGATGTGACGCGTTACGTACCCTACCGTAGCAACAAGGAACTCTCCCACCGATACAATGCTTGAAGGTGGTTGATTGAGGGGATGTGTAGCTTGTTTCAGGTCAATCCGGGTTTTTGTTGTTTAATATAATTTGGATGTATGGATCGCTACCATGTCGGGAAAATCGCAGTCTTGCCCACAGACGGAACCGCATATTCTACAACATCATCCTTTCACGATGCTCAAGCAAATCAAAAAACTCCGCTCTGAGAGAGACTCTGGGTTACTCGCGAACAAGAAACTTCGCACCCCATTGAAAAATTGGGCAGTATCGAACTCATGGGAACAAAACCGAGTTTATCAACGACAAAGCAACGATGCCAGAGTATTTCCGAATAACGAGTGGCAAGAAGGCGGAAGGAAACGCAGCGAAGAAACTCCCAACAACACTGCTGCAAACACGCCACAGTAAGTGTCAGAACACTGCTACAGGCTTTTGTTCTTCTTTATGTTGAAAGAGGTGGACAATCACCATAACTCAAGTTTGGTGAACAGTTCCGAGTTGACTTTTCTGAAGTGTATTAATATTCCAACGACGGACATAACGATTTAGTTTGATTCCTTGTAGGAAAGTGTGTAAAATTGACGACGCGGTTAAAGAAAGTACAAGTGAAATAAGTCTCTCAAGAGTAGGATACTTTGTCGCAGTTCTTTGTTCGAGATGAGACGTATGCCACTGGAGGTGTTTTCGGACGCTGTTCTCAAAATCCAGCCTTCCAGACAGCCTGCTGAGCGATTTGTGAGCAAAGTTATGGTGTCGCCACTGCCACTTTGTTGTACATATAATCGAACCGAGTAGTTGCTAAAGTGTACAGCGAAGGGACATTAGGTAGGCGAGAGGTCCTTGATGCACATGCTTTTTTTGCTTTTTCACGAAATATGCTCTACACATTAGCAAAATGTTTTTACTCTTCATATTGACTATGTACGGCCTTCCCAATGTTTGAAGTGGTCCGAATATTATAGTCTAAGAAGTTTTTCTGCCACCACCAACCTAATAGAGGCGCTCTTTCACTCCAAACATTTAGAATTGTTTTACAAAGATTGCGGCGGTTTCACGCACTTCCAGCAAAGGTCGATGAGTCGTATGACCAGCGCCCTCTATTGAAGAAATGCTGTGCTCCCTTTCGAAAAATAGTGCCCCACTTTCGAAGCCAGAAATATGCTAGTGCAAGTGAAATAAATTCAAAAAATACTTTTGAAACAGTACGTAGGGTGACTTTATGTACACATACATAATCCGATAAATGTCTAAAACAGTTTCTCTATGAGGTGGGGTACAATATTACGGACCGACTCAAAATCCTAGGTCCGCCCATGGATCGTTTGGAGTTGTCCTTTGTTGAGCCTTCATTGTTGAATTTAGCCGTTTAGTGGAAAGTTGTTGTGCAATGAGTTTCCTATAACTATTTTGGAATCACTTCTTTCGTCTTCTCCGCTGATCTCTAGGGCCGACAGATCGGTCCGCTCGTTTCGCACCAGATAGTTGCAACCAAATAAGGCAACATAATTTGCCAAAATAGAATAACTCGGAAGCTGCGGTCTCTCGCACTTCCCCTTGGACTCTGTAGGTGGGATTCGGTCATGATAAAACAATCTAGTTTCCAGGCATTGGGGACAACAGCTTTTTTATTCTTGAACGAGTGAGCGCTATGGAAGCCACAACGTGCATCGTAAGATTGCAGCTTGTAAGCGAAGTCTCTGAGTCGGAGGCTACTTCTCTTTATAATAATATTAACTCCATGTTCAAAAAGGTACCAACATCGCACTCAAGGTGTGAGGCTCCGTCGTTGTTATCACAAGGTGACCGGACAGGATCGCTGGGGTCGTTCTTCACAAACTCTTCTTGCATTCAACACTGATGTCGTGATATGTAGCATAAATAGGTATAGGGGGACAACTCTTCATCACCCTCTTCCCTTCCTAGATGGTGCTTACGTTATGCCGCAGGAACCGAAGTCCTCTATCAAGCACGATGACACGACCTTGCTAAATTTTTTTGCTTGTTATGGTTTAAGAACATTTTGATCCTACGAATGATAAAACAGACTCTTGCTTCTAAAGCTAACTTTGGAGTAAGATTCCGCGATTCACCACCGCTGGAATTGAGCTGCACCCTTTTTCGGCTGATAAAGGGCGCCAGGAATTCAGCTCAAAATACATCTCTAGTATTTCCATAATGTAAGAGAAGGTCACAGAGAATCAAGATAGAGCCTTAAAAAGTTTTGTTTAAACGTTTAAGATACGTTTTATAAAGGAAGCACAAAGATCGCGTGCATCAGGGACTCGGACTTCCATATCATGCTTATGAGCGCTTAGCCCTACCGATTGCGCCTCATTTGCATGGTGTAGTAACTGCTCGATTCGGTATCAGTACGATCAAAGCACAAGGAAAACGATTCTGCAAACGATTGCTCCTAGGATCTTACGATATGTAGATTTGGAGAGTAGAATGAATGTAGAGTCCGAAAACACCTGTGGCGATACACATCTTGAAAGACCGCTGTGACCTTCCCTTAAGATCTGTTCTCAATCGCACGCCTCGATAAGCTATGCAAACCAGCGATGTGCAATCAAAAAGAAAGGTGAATTCTAGTCATATCGGGAGGAATAAGTATGTAACCATATGGAGTCTGAATGTTCAAGTGTTTTTCAGATGACATGTTCATTTCTATTTAATGTGAAGTTAGTAACGACTTCTCCTCTTTTAAAAATTCCTATTTCCACGTGAAACCTACAAAGCTCAATGACCGTATGCATGGTTGGTTCATCGTTGCGCAGGCGATCACTTCATATACTCTCGCTTTTTCGTGTTATAACTAGAGTCTCAAGTGCAGTCCTCAGACCATTGACTTCAGAAAGGAGTTTATCTTTGGTATTATTATATTTTCAGGAAGGGTGTTCTTTGGTTGGTTGGCTGATCGAGGATACGTATCCGCACTGGCCATCAATAACTTCTCATTACTTGCGTGTGGAGCGCTCACACTTGCAGCTCCCCTTTTGCCTTCATTTGCACTATTAGTAATGTACGCCTCCCTTTTTGGCTTCATTATTTGTGAGTCCTTTTCTCGAACTCTTCGTCGTCATGGTTTCTCGTTTAGATAGAGTATTTCAGCTGCATACGTGTGCTTAACATCCATTGTGCTTTCTGACCTGCTTGGTCTCGAGAAACTTACAAATTCGTTCGGTCTTCTTGTCGTAGCAAGAGGTATCGCATCGCTCGCAGGATCTCCATTTGCTGGTGAGATCCACCTATCACTACGTGAACTAAAACTTGCTAGGCAGTCAATGTGATTGGCTGCATCAGATTGAAAGTTCAAACTTTTGAGGTTTACGGCTCTTCAAAGTACGCTCCGTCTTACAAGTACTACATATTTTAAGTGGAAGTGGTGTGTGTGAGCAAACCGATGGGAAGCGGTTAGCTCCTATGTTAGTACATGTTAATATATCCAAACGTATAACCAATTACCTGACAATAAAAAAATGAAATGCTGGTCTGCTCGGGCTGCAAACTGCTACTGTCCTTTCTCTTTTTACCTATATAGCGTCAGTCATTCGAAATAAGCGCCCATACAAGTGAATGATTAAGGCAAAACAGCGATAGAAGCGAATATAAGGGGTCGAAAATTTGTACCATCGTACCGGCGAAGCTGAACAAAGTGTATATGAGTGAAGCATAGATATTCAAGTCGTAGACGCTATAAACAAATTTCGAAAGCAGAGAGAGAAGAAATTCCCGAGACACCAAGTGATTGGAGTGCAAGTATCTGAGTTTCTAACAGGATGAGGAAGCTCTAACGAGACAAAAAAGTTTGGATTTTTCCTCAGTACATCTATCTTACTATATCTACGTATATAGCATATCCAGGGTGTCTCAAAATTATGTGCGCCAAGATACAGAAGTTTCTAAGGTACAAATAATCTATCAAATTCACATTATCTGCTATCAATTAGTTGGATATGAAGGTTTTCTTGCAATATGCGTGGTTACAGATGTGTAACTCCCAATATCTTTTAGATGGAGGAGGCTAATTCAAAGCCACTTGCAATCACTGACACGCGAGAGGTGAAGGGCATTATGAAGTTCCTAGGGATTTTATAATAGCCACATAGGAGGCTATTATACAATACAAAAAAGGAGATTGAATCAGAGACAAACCAGGAAAAGTAGAAAGTCCAACGTTTCTAAAGATAGGGTTATTAAAATGGTCCGTCTGCTAGTCAGTCGGGATCCTGGGTGACCCGTCAAGAGGACGTCAACGGGCGCGGCTTACCGTAGTTGTCGCGATGGAAGAATGTCATGCAGAAGCTTTATTGCAATTCCTATCGTATGCGAGAAATTTCACTTCAATTCCGAACTCAACAGACACTGCAGGACCAAAGAATGCAGAAAGTCGCAGACCCACTTGAGTAGTGACACGCAACCCTTCATCGTTTTGTCTGGCCAAAAAATTGTTTACGATCAAAACGTTCGCGTTTCGTGAGGAAACATCTGGTGTGCAATCTCTCACAAAAAGGTTGCTATAAGAACAGTAAAATGATGTTTTTGAAGAAGTCTCTGGCAAGGGTAAGCCGCTCGTGGTTTCTCCCTTGCCGGCGTGAAAATTGACGAAGACCAATGCGTACTGATGGACGTAATAAAACACTGATCCGACTACTTTCCTGAAACTTTTCGTAGTCCTTACAGCAGGACGCTACTCCAGCCCTCAGAGCCATGCTTGCCCGCGAGTGGTACCGACGACAGCTGCCCGACTTCATTGGTGAAGAGGAATGGTCATCCTATTTTCTAGAACTCGACTCACCTGACTCCCACGAATGGTCACTGATTAGGAGAGGACCTATTGCTGCCCAGTTTGGAGTCCTAGAAAGCAAGGCTGAAGAACGGCTTGGAAGAAATGGAGGAGTATACCTGTATGTCACATGCGATCAGGTCGGGAGCAAACTTCGGGCCTCTATCCGCGCTAAGGGGAGATACTTTGAAATATGTTTGTAGCATGTTGTAGCAAATGGTGATAGCTAGCGTGCGTAGAAATTCCATCGTATTTCGCAGCTGAGAAGCTTCAAATATATTGCTATGAAGCGAAGCAAATAATATTGGCACCCTGTAGTGTGTCTGTCGGTTTGTATGTATGTATGTTTGTTTGTTTTTTGTTTGTTCGACCGGAATTTCATAACTCCGGTGACCGTGAACCTGGACCCGGATCTGGAGCGCTAAATTATGGTAGGAGTACAGGAGACAAGATGGGAAAACTTTTGGTAAGTGACAGGACTGATTCCCAGAGGACGTGGCGTGAGAGAAAATATTTAATCTACCTAGTCAAACCTTCAATGTGTCATTATTTTCAAGATGAACAGAGCAGATCGAGGCTTCTAATTAAGGGCATAAGCCTCGGCGCATACACAATAATACTTGAATGTCCTGTCGATCCTCTGTGGAGTTTCGTGTTCCAAGAAGTATCATTAGTTCCAAAAAAGGAGCAGGTCGTTTGCCGATTACTAATACTCTATCATAAGAAGAAGGGAAGTTCGGCTAACGCTGGGCGACCCGACTGGTACAAGCATAAGACGTCCGTAAACCGGTTAGACAATGACAAAATCGGACAAAGTAAATGGATGGGTCTAATGATCCAGCCACCGCACGTGTAGTCCGAAAATTTACTAGGTTGAGTCATAAGTCCTCGGACAAACGGATAGTGATGAGTTCTACAGATCATAACTCGGGAAAGAGGAGAAGAAAATGGACGCGCGTGGCATACTCAGGTAGAGTATGAAAAGCTCTTCAAAATACGTGCTAACGAACACACCTAACTGTTTCCTTTCCTGCAACCATGCCGCATGATTTCAAGCCGTCGCGACTCCACATCCGCAACACCATCCTATTTCTTTTTTTATCTGGCCATGAACCCGCGGAGATCTATAGACGTATGAAGGAAGTCTACAAGGAAGTTGCTCCTGCTAGATGCACACTTTACAAGTGGCACACAAAGTTCGCGTCGGACGACTATTCCATCGAAACTGAAGACAGTCCGGGACACTCAATGGAGTTGGATTTGGACGTGCTGCGGAGCCAGGTGGAAATCAACCCGTATCAAACTTTTCGTGAACTGTCAGTCACACTTGGGCGTCACAGATATTGGACTGAGGTCAATCGGCAAGGTGCGAAAGCTCGGTCGATGGGTGCCTCAAGCGTTGAAGCAGTATGACGTGAGCTGCCGCGCCGACATGGCACTTTCTCTCTCCACGCTCAGGACAGCTCAGGTGTGTTGTTAGTATATATTTGGAAGAGCCTTTTATACACTATCTAAGGATGCCTCGCGCGTCCACTTTCGTCACCTCTTTCCCGAATTATGATCTCTAGAAGTCATCTGTATCACATTGTCCGAGGACTTATGACTCAATCTAATAGTCTCAAAACGAGTTTTCCTCACGCCGAAAAGACTTTCCATACTTTCCCTCTGCTAGTGATTGATTAGGAGCGGGAAAGGGGCGTGGGCGTTCTCTTAAAGATTCCACACTACTAATCCTTCGCTTTGCTAGACACAAATCTTCGCTAACCTCCGAATCGGTAGAAACATCGTGCTTTATACATTTTTTCGGCACTCTATTTCAGTTAGGTTGGTTAGTATTCGGAGTTTCGATGTCATTTGGAGGCGCGTATATCATTCTACGGAAATATATATAAATGCAATTCACGGAGTGAAAAGGGACGTTTTGAACTAAAAGTCTCAATGACCAGGTTACTGGAGCCATGCGTTGTTGAATCGAATCATCTTGCGAACAGTATAGAATCGCTTTCGGTGAGGGTTTCGTGGGTGCAGTGGGCGTTGATGATTGCGAAGGTGGGCCAGAAGGCTGATTAATCATGAAGAAAAGTCCTTCACTTGATATTGATAGGATCGTAGATAAAATAGTGAACTGACCTTCCACGTAAAGATCAAAAGATGAGCATTTTGTACCCTGACGTGACGCATTCCAAGGACCTTCACTATTTCAGTTTAGCACTGTCCTTGCGGCGAGAATCGACTGCTTCTAAGAAATATAAGTTGCAAAAAGGAGTTCGAACGAGATTATGGCGACGGAAGTGGACTGGAAGGGATATTTGGATAGATTGTCGGTTGATGCTATTAAATTTGAATAATCGGCTACAGTATGTCAAGGACGCCAAAAAATGACCTTTCACTGCGCGCACTCATATTACATGCGTCAGGGGACCAACGTTCGCGCTTTTCGTAAATTGACATCTCGGAAGTCGATTACTCATGCTGTAGGGTGCCGGCTTATAAAGAACGGACGAAAAGAGGAAAAGCCAGATCTACAGGTTTTGTTTCACAACTGCATGCGAGAATATAACGCTTACCGTCTGGATGTTTTCGCAGGAGCGTACTATTCGTCGTCGTCGGCAACGCACTATGAAGACGCCATGGATCTAGACTAATGCTCGAGTTCTGAGCATGCTTACACCATCGTGAATTGTGCCTTCATTACTCGGCACTTTTGGGTGTGTACGTCGATCGAGTCGATTTCGGCGCTCTTATTACACCTTGTCACACTAGTTTTGGTTCAACGGTACTATGTCCTCTCCTTGGGAGCTATAGATGAATCCTGAGGAAAAATTTCAGAAACCGTTTTGATCATGGACTGTGCGTTCTAGGGTCGTTAAGCACACACTTTCAAACCGCATTTATCAACTGTCGTCCCTTTGATTGATTTCCTTGAGCGGGCGCTACTACGTCTCTATTCTTCCCCTCTGTCTCTTGGGCGAGATTGTATCGCCTTGTCGAACCCCTCTATTCACGTTGACAATGACGTCCTCACAAAAATCCTAGTCGTGAAGTTGTCATAGAGCCCACGAAGCATCCTCATATAGTGAGTGGAGACACCCTGGCTGTCCAGGCTTCAATTACTCTTCAAATGGATGAGGTCAGACATAACGACATTTTTACTTTTGCGAAACTTCATTGAGTCTCGCAATGGTGTGCATGTAATCAATTGTACTAAATCCTCTCCGGAACTCTGATTGTTCGCATGGCTGTCCTTCAACTAATAATCTGCCGATCCTGTTTAGGATGACATTTGTGGATTATAGACAGCATTTAAATTGAGTATAGTTGCCGATTACTGATATTAGAAGAAGGACAGCCATGCGAGCAAGCAGGGTTTCGGAAAGGGTTCAGTACAGTCGATCATATCCATACCCTAACAAGGCTCATTGAAGTATAGCGAAAGTACAAAATGCCGCTATGTCTTACGTTTATCGACTTGAAGAAAGCCTTTGACACAGTTGAGACAGAAGCGGTAATTGAAGCCCTGGGCAACCAGG